ATGGTGCACAGGTGACCTGTCATGTTTGTGTTTTCCCTGGCAGTGGCTGCCTCATTCCTAGTAGCAGCAGAGGTGTGGGTCCTCCTTGGACATAGAGATGTGGGCATAGGAATCTATTGGAGACAGCTGATCAGCCTGTGGAAGGAACCAGATCATTTTCCCTGGCAGATTCTTCTGCCGGTAGCCAGCTGTTGGGCTCCAGCAACATCCAGGATTTAGGATTCAGCCTCACTGTTGTGAGGGGCAAGAAAAGACATGGCCACACTGGGCTTGGGCCTCTCCTCTCTCACCTGCAAGGTGTCCTTTCCATCTGAACACAAGTCTTCCCAGCAAGTTTCAGGAGGGTTGAGCAGAAATGCAGATACAGTGTTTCTGGATGCATGATGAAGAAATGAAAGCATAATATTCTCTGATACTGGTAAATTTGTTTAATTACCCATAGTATTTTATGGTATAGGTAGTCAAACCAAGGAATAAATATTGAAGGATGCAAACTTTGAGGCAAGTGTTATAGGACATTTTCATTACTCCATCAGAAACATCTGTATGCTATCCCTAGATTTTTAGGTTTCCAAAACTGTAAATGCCATATGTCCTGATGAATCTGCTTATAATACTTTGTTGACCAGTGCCTATGGTTCTAGAACCTGAGATTTTCTCAAAAAGTACTATGAAAGGAAACTGTTGAGTGTGTTCAATGAGTGAAGAATGTCTCTATTCAGGTTTTAAATCTGAGATGTAAGTCAGTCTGCTCCAATGACAGTGGCTCCCTGATTTATCACTGTATGCTGACGACTGGGCTCTCATTTTTGTACAAACCAGTGCTTTCGGTTGCCCGTATTCGGACATGAACTTGAAAAAGGAGGCAACACTTCTTGATCGTCTGAGAGAACAAACACAGGCAAATTTGGAATCAGATTCTTCATATTCAAAATCGAAAAACCTCTGTAGCTTGAAATTCAATGGAAAACATGAAAAGGTGAACAGTCAGCCCAGGTAAGAAACTTTTCAAAAATGTGAACCAGAAAGTAAAGCATGTAGAACAGTAAAAGAACAAATTTGTTAATAGTAATAATTCCTTCTATTTCTTTTTATTTCTGGATATTGTTGTGTTTACTGGCTGATAGAAATCATCTAAGCCCTGATCGTCATTTAAAAAGTATTTTCTATTGCTTTATCCTCAAATAACTGAATTTATTTCCTTCTGAATGTACATATTATATAAAAGCATAAGAAAGTATATCTTATCTGTACAATTCTGAAAGATTCTCTTTTATCTTAAAAATGTCTTTATTCTTTAAAACCATTTCATAGATGGTACCTCTTTCGGCATATGGTTGAGCATGTGTATTACTCAGTCATGTCAGGATTTCTTGTCGTTCCTGTTATTTGTCTTTGTCATCTTTTCTCCAGACGTACCTCAGATATGATTTCTTCTTACTCTGAATAGTTTCCATTTTGCTGTATTGACAACACACCATCCTTTTGTTCCTAAATGTAAACTTGCAATTTTAAGTATCAGTTTTTAGTTTTTATTTACATGTACTTATTTCCTAAGGAACTGCAAATACAACCTTGTTTGGTATTTTTTATCCTAAACAAGTAAAGTAATCTAAATAACATCTTTCTCCAAAGAGCTCCATACCCATGCTGGGAATTATAAACACAGGAAAGGCTAATGCTAAGTGACTGGAGACCAAAGACTGAGCCAAGAAAGACCAGACAGAGAAGTGAGAAGTGGGTGTTTCCCAGACCCTGCTGCAGGCAGAAGGCAATCACATTCAAGACTTTAAGGACCCTAGACCCTGTCTGTGCGACCTTTGAGGGGACAGCTGCTTCTCTTAAATCTTAGAGCCTTGCTCTTTCCTTTCAGCATGTGTGAAATGAAAATGGCACACCTCTCTGTGGGTGCAGAGTTTTCATGGAACAGCTTTCTGTCCACTTACACCTCAGTCTCAGCAGGGGCGTGTGACTTCACTCCCAAGGAAGCACCTGTTCATTGGGAGAATTTGGCTTATCAGATATACTTTTCAGTGGATTTTACATCCTGGACTATGGATTTTGTTTTTTATTATTCATGCCCATGTTGTTTTAGAACATTTAGGTGACATTTCATTTTTATTAAATTCTCATTATTTTGATTTTGATCTTTGCACACGATTGCAGATTAGCGATTCTCTCTATTGCGCTATTTCCTATGTATACGCATGCCTCTCTATTTTTGTAGCTGTATCTTGCATTTTTATTATTTGTTATACACCCACTCCTCTTATTGAAACTTCACAGGGCCTCGTTGTTCTTTACTGCTGTTTCACACCCACACTGTTTACAACTTCAAGAAGTTGAGAGCTTGAACATCCTTTCCATCTCCTGGTTGGGGAGAATTTTTTTCTTTTTCTTTTTCTTTTTTTTTTTTTTAACTATTTTCCAAGGAACAGTGTTTATTTATTGCAGAATTATAGAAACCAGTACATCCATTTGC